TGTAGCTTTGCGCGAAACTCAAAACAACGTATACCTTTATTGTTTAACAAAATACAATTTCATTTGAGATTTTGTGTACATGGTATTTTTGACAAATGTGGAGTTAACTATAAGCAGTTGTGGTGTTATCCAGTGTCTTTATTGTATTCCAAGGGTATATATTAACAATGTCTTCCACTTTTAGCGCAGGTTTTCTGGCTGGGCCAGCCTTTGGATACGTATTTTATGAAGCCTTTCAAGAGTCTTAGTTGGATGTAGATTTAAAAAGAAAAAAAAACCGAAATGTTTCAGACTATAAGTTTGCAGAATCACTGAATCACACAGTTTTGCTAACTTTTTGATTCTGAGGTTTAACTGTACCATTTTTGTTTTCCTTGGTTTGCTTTTTAGGAGCTTTCTTGATTTAAATTCTTGTGATATCAGCAATATCGATCGGTAACAAATGAAGATTCGTATTTATGTATGTGTCTAAAATCATATACGGCACATAGGGTACAGCAGATAATGTATGTAAATATCCACAGGTAAGTTTTAAGCACGGAGAACATGGTTTTTCTAGTAAGTTAGTGGTACTTAGTGGGGATGTAGCTCAGATGGCAGCACTATGAATAGATAGCTATTGGTTTGAATCAAGAAAATATAATTCTGTCCTCACTCAATATCAGTTTGTGTATACAAATGTAATCGTAGTCTAAACAGTTCAAGAGTGTGGGAAGCGACATAAAATGTTAACCCCATGTAAAGGGTTGCTCTTTTTAGACATAACCATAGTTTCCATTCACAATGCACAACCAATAGACATAGAAACTAGAATGTCTGAGTCCAATGAAGTCACTCCACTAAATTAAATAAACATTAATCTGAAATGGACACAGTAATAGAAGCATCAGAGTACTGCAAGATATTTCAAAATGCTTGCTCACCTCTAAAAAAGATGCACCCTCCAAAAAAAAAAAGAAGAATGAAAACAAGACAAACATATAGCCCAAGATAGAAATTCGGACATAATGGATTGAAAGTTGAGTTATTAACGCGTCAACTCAACGACAGTTATTTTTCACACAGTATCGAAAAATTACTCGGATGTCTCCGAGAGGCTTCTATATCACTCTCACTTATGTTAAGTTTCATCAAAAAGCACAAATGACTCGGCTGATTCCCAGAGGCTCTTCTATCACTTTCGGTTACGTTAAATGGCACGAAATAGCACAAAAGGTAATACGTGAACTATATAAAAGGATAATACGTAAAGTTTGACATAAATGCAAATTCTCGAATCTTCCTGAGCATGTTCAAAAGCCTTTTATAGCCTCACAAGTTGAGATATTTGTAAGATGTTTTTAAACGGGGTTTGTATCAGAACTTATGATGTTGTTAATTGTGATAGAAGCTAAACAAATCTGGGAAAGAACAAATTACTCAGAATGCCAAAACCGCCAGTAAGTAACCTGTGAATTATGATTTAACAAGAGCAGTGGAATCCTTTTTAATGTCATATGTCAAATAAGTAGAATTGAAGTGTGTGATAGCACTATGCAGCTCTTTGGAGTATTCTTGATTTGTATTATAATGAACTTAGAAAGATGAATAACACGATTTTATAACACTAATTTTACTTTTTCTTAGCCTTGTTAATATTCGTCTTTTATTTAATTATGTTATACATTATGGTATTTATTTAGTCTAACAACATTTTTGTGGACGTTTTTCAATGACTTACGGTCATATTGATGAATGATTAATATCCACTATATATTCAAGAACTAATTTAACGTTGTGAGGCACTCATTTTTGTCACAGTTTAAATTGAGTTGAATATGTTAAAATTACAAGCATTCATTGAATGAATCAAGCCTTATTTTTTGATATTTATCAATGGTATCGTAAACACTTATAAAACAAACAAAGCTGCTACTTTAAAAAATCCCAATTTCTGCATTCTATAATTAATTCAAAACTGTTTAAAAAGCACTGTTCACAACTGTTTGTACTTTATAAAACTTGTTAACAATTGAATTCTGCTATTTATATTACCCACACACCCCTTCTAGGGTTTTGGTGGTAAATTTGAAGGCTTATAACACTAAAAAACGGGTTTCGATATCCGTTGTGGGCAAGCATAGATAACCCTATTAATTATTACCTAGCCGCGACCCGCTGTAGTTTTCATGTCCTTGGCTTGAATTTTCCTTATTCTGTCATTCTCACGCTCGGCATTTAAGCTATGTTTTCTTACATGCATTATTTATTAGATCGATAAATACTGGTCCATTTGAAAACAATTTACACGGTCAGACGAACAAACTCACGTAGACTTAACTTTATTTAATAAAACTACACGTAAAGTAAACAATAATGTACATTAATGGTATCTATAATAGTGTACAGAGTATGAAACAGTTATGAGCGTTCATTGTATGACATGGTTTTAAGAGTTGAAATAAATAAACTCAAAAACGAAGAATATAACCCGTTCTAAAGAAAAAAAGATGTTTATGGCAGTCTACGAAACTAACCTAAGTTAAACTATTGGAAAGTACAGTATATATAAAGTTGTAGTGAAAGCCAAACTTAGCTTAATATGCAGAAACGTCTGAATGCATGTTCACAAAGTGATAGACATATGGTTTTGAACGAACTGCGCATGCATATTTTAAACCTAAATAAGTCGAAAAGGCCCGTACCAATTGTATTTAGTGTAACGTTAATTGTGTTTAGGAAAATATACGAGGATTAAGTGTTTGTGTGAAATATTTTGTACTAAAAAAACTAAAGTTGAAACTGAAGCCAGTCGTCACGTGATGACGAAGACATTGTGCCATCGTGTAGCCTACTCGTTACATTAAAAAGTTTGACTAAGCAAAAAACAAATAAAATGATTCTGAATGAAAAAAAAACAATATGTAAATAGCTTTGTGATATTGATTAAGTTTTAACATGGAGAATCCTAGCAAACACAATAGCCTATCTATATAAATAATACGCTTGTCTATTTATCTGTCTGGAACTTGTTTCGCAAATTTCTCGATCAAACGCTACAAATCTCATATCATTAAAAAGGTCTTTGTCCGAGGAGTTCGGATTGTTACATCTAATTCGATTAAGTAGTGCAAGTAGTCAGAAAATCCATGGGTCGTTGTAAGAAAACCACCGTCGTCATATTGTAATCTGTAAGGAAATATTTTTAGAACTTTCCAATGTAATTATTATCTAGATACTATTAATCAGGTTTGTGGAAAACTATTTCCTCTATAGTAAACTAGGTTTACGACATTGTTTTATTGTATAATTTTCAACAAACATTAAAAATAGATTTTTATAAATTTTCTTTTTCTGTAGATTGATTTTATTTAGTTGTTGTCCTTCTGTTGCAGCAGAGGGGTATGACAACGTTGTCGTGTCAGGTGCAGGAGAAAATTCTATAGAAACTCATTGATTATCTTCACATGACTTGCAGGTCCCAAGCCTTCCCCACCTCGGAATGTTTCCGTGCAAGAGACAGATGATGGCGTTCTTATATCTTGGCTTTCTCCACTTAACCAGAAAATTCCTGTGGCCTTCTATTACGTTGAGTATCGTACACAGTCTAAGCCTTGGAAACGTTGGGGACCTATAAAACACGCTACTTCGTATTTAGGTAAATTCTTCCTTTGGCTCAGATTTGTAGCACACATATATATATGATATTTCAAGCTAAACGATTTTGCCATAACTCAATTATATACTGCCTGCATGTGTGAAGCCAGTGAATGTAGTGAAGCAGCAAACTATTTTAACAAATCGTTGTCGAAAGACGTACGGAATTATTTCTAACATGTCTCAAAGATAATTTGTTGTAACTCTCTTTTATGTGTGCAAGAATGATAAACACGTTGCTTTTAGCTGTTTTTGTGTGATGTTTGTGGAACGCCATATTGTTGAAAGTGTTAATTTTTGAAGTACCATATATAACATTTTGGTAGAGCACATCTTCAGTGGAGGGAGTATCTTCTTTCACCATTGGTTCCCATTTTCATGTTTACAATACTTTTTGAGGACATTTTGGTAGAGCACATCTTAGGTGGAGGGAGTATCTTCTTTCACCATTGGTTCCCATTTTCATGTTTACAATACTTTTTGAGGACATTTTGGTAGAGCACATCTTAGATAGAGGGAGTATCTTCTTTCACCATTGGTTCCCATTTTCATGTTTACAATACTTTTTGAGGACATTTTGGTAGAGCACATCTTAGGTGGAGGGAGTATCTTCTTTCACCATTGGTTCCCATTTTAATAAGAAGTAAGCATAAGCTTGTATTTAACTACATTATGGGTTCTATTATTTAAACTAGCCCCGAGTATGGTGACATTTTCATATCTACACTTTTGTCTGTCAAACCTAACTCTTAAACGTTCTCGAATGTTTCAAATTGGAATCACTTTATTTCTGGGCATTATTTGTCCCAAACCTAGATCGACAAGGGTGTACGTTATGGCATAATGAATTTTAAGGCTGAAAAATGTATAGTTTTTCTACTTAGGAATCCATCAATGTAAGCAGTGTAGAAAAGTAACCAAAATTTCATAATATAGCAAGTACAGTCATATAACTAAAGGATTCTTCAAGGCGTCGTCAAACCCTAGGCTGTCCATCTGCAGCAATAAGAAGTAGGAGTGATCACACCCACTTGGTACTTTGGTACTGATCTTTACCCCAATTTCGATGTTAAAGGCATAATAAAAATCGACGCCTTAGGTGTTGTATGAGCTACAGTTCGTTCGTGAAATTCAGGAACATGGATTATACTTTCTATAGAGAATGGACTGGATTGCAGCCCTGAATAGTAAACACATTTCTGGATAATGGAGTTAATGCCAACCACTCGTTATCGTTTGGCAACACCTTAAAAATGCGGATGGATCAAGAAGTGACTAAAGTTTAGCAGATGAGTCAGCATTTCTAACAATAACGTCCAGTGATGTTCCATCTCGTCAGTAAGTTATCCTGGATAAACTAATATGGTACTTTGAGTTACATTACTCGAGTTATCTTGATTGTAACTTAATGGCTGTGGCTATTGGTGGCCTTTATAAATCTTACTCATGTTAATATTGTAGCTATTGGATATCAATTGTTGTTTCGTTAGTAGCCTATACAATCAACTACTTCTAACTAGTTACTGTTGTTTTCAGTCCTTTGTGACTGTGCATGAATAATATAACTCGCAAAGGTTTCATCTAGTTTTGATAACATTTGGAACGAGGGTTTTATGTCATCCAAGGACAAACCAGTTAACTTTTAACGAATTTAGTTCATTGGTCAAGGTCACACTGAAGGTCAACCACTTTCATTTCAATGGTAGTAAAATGGGATCCTGAAAACCGGTAAAAACTCGGGAAGAAATTAAAATAGAAAAAAAAAGATCTTGGCGCCAACGTTTATGAGAGTGAAGAACTGTTTGATGTTTAATTGAGGATGGTTACTGCACAAACAAAGATCACTACGAGGCGGGAGTTGAACTCTCTGAATGTCTTTCTATTTGTTTATTTTTCTTTATTAATAATGGCCAATTGTTTTTATCATGTGTTCTGGCTGCTAATATGTTCGGATAAGTTCTGAAAATAACTGTTTTACTACCAGTGGATATTCAGTTCTGGGTCGTCTTCTGGGGTCTCAGCACCAGGAAAAGAATAAACAAACTGAATGCTTTCAAGAAGGATATCCAGATTTTATTGGTTTATTTGCTAACTTGGCTGCGTATTATCAGTTAAGTAGATGTAGAAAGTTTGTAATATATATCTTATTATTTTCCTATTATTCCATTTTATTGCAAGGTCATCTTCACTGAAATGATAGACTATAGATAGATCAGTATTACATAATATTATAACTAATTTTGAATTAGACTTGGGTTATCGTATATGCTACTAACCATGTGAAGGAGTGCACCATAAGGTATAACACACGAAAATTATGTGAAGTCTAATGAATTACGAGCTGGAATTTTGTCCTAATAATCTTAGTAATAATGTGATTAATTGCAATTAATAAAGATGTTATGCCAATTTCAAGTGCTTTTATTCTCTTTTCAGAACACTCGTGTTTAGAGTGAGACCAGTTCTAATTATCTAACTAAATAAATGTGCAATTTGACTAATTTTTTGAGAGGCAAACTGCATATCTAGCTCCTTTGGTGAAATATAAACAGATCCGGTGAAAGACCAGAAGTAAAAGTAAACTCTCAGTCCATAATGCACATTTATCTTAAAGCTCTTGTAATGCACTTTAAAAGTCTTTAGTGTTGTAAAGCATTACAATGATTCAGTTTTTCTGGGTAATAACTATGCCCAATGTTTACATTTCATTAATTTTAGAGATCCCTCGGTTGCTTAGCTGAGGGCTTATAACGCAAAAAATCGCGTTTTGATGGTGGATACAACGCAGACAGCCTATTGTGTAACTTTGAGTTTGTTTGTTTATTTGGTTTGAATTTCACGCGAAGCTACAAGATGGCTATAAACGCTAGTTTTGTGCATAATAACAAACAAACAAATAAAACATTAGAAGTTTAAAGTTGAGAGAAGTGCCTGAGTCGCAGATGCAATGAATTTGGATTCTTCTGACACAACACTTCAACTTACACGGGCGAGAGCACTTTAAATAATAAATCCAAATTTGTTAAAACCATAAAGAGTTTAAGATAATAACATTCTCGTAAAGATAATTAAGATTTAGAAATAAAAAAATGTAATGAACTTGGTAAACAAACGTAAGTTTATGTAGATTTAGAGCTGATGTACATATATATAGTCCCCCAGTGGCACAGCGGTATGTCTGCGGACTTACAACGCTAGAAACCGGGTTTCGATACCCGTGGTGAGCAGAGCACAAATAGCCCATCGTGCAGCTTTGTGCTTAACTTCAAACAAACAAACATATATATATATTTCGAGAGTAGAGATTTACAGTTCACGTTAAATGTAAACATCCAAACTTTAACTTAGAAATCTACCTTCACTCTACCAAATAACCACAAATGATTATTGAAATATATTTTTTGCGCATAACAACAGTGTAAAGTGTACATTATGGTATGAGTGAAGTATCTGAAGTATTCACAGATTTTCGTGTGCTTTCGTGTACGAGTGAAGTATCTGAAGTATTCACAGATTTTCGTGAGTTTTCGTGTACGAGTGAAGTATTTGAAGTATTCACAGATTTTCGTGTGTTTTCGTGTACGAGTGAAATATCTGAAGTATTCACAGATTTTCGTGTGTTTTCGTGTACGAGTGAAGTATCTGAAGTATTCACAGATTTTCGTGTGCTTTCATGTACGAGTGAAGTATCTGAAGTATTCACAGATTTTCGTGTGTTTTCGTGTACGAGTGAAGTATTTTTAACTCTTTTTTTGTCAATCTTTTATAGCCAAAGACCTGCCCTCTGGTCAATACAAGTTTCGCGTGTATGCATATTCGATCATGTCAGTAGGACAGCCAAGTCCAGATGTTTCCCTCATTATTTCAGGTATAATACATATTAATATTGTTGTCGATGTACATTTTGTAAACTATACTGAGAGGCTGAATACCCCCCCCCCTTAATTGTATCTTTAACACGTAATTCTTTTATATGGCTTATGTTTTGTTGTTAATTTACTTTGTTTCTTCAATTACTATATTACACGTTGCAATTTCTATTAGTTTGTTGTTTTGATTATGTAATTTTTATGAGATAAAAATATATTTTCATTGTGTGTGTTCCTATATTCTGGTGGTAGTGCCATATCTTAATTAATGGGTAACATAAATAATTTCACTCCTATTCACTCAATATTTATGTGGGCCTAATTTGTATCCTAATTATCTATGTAAATGTATTTCGAACATATGGTTCTCTTAAAATTGACGTAAGCCTCATTAAAATGTGTCTGTCAGTTGGTTTTATCATAAAATGAAACTGAAATGTATGCATTTTTGGCACACTGATTCCAAAGGAAAAACAAAACCATAATTAATGTATTTCCAATAATAAATGAAAATAATGTTTAAATTAATTAATTTTGTTTTTGTTTACTCGTTAATTCATAACCTCAATCTATTATGATTGTTCTCCAACTTTCTCCTACAAAATAAAACAATTTTCCAATAGTAATAAATAATTCTTAATTAAACTTTTGTAAATGTAGCAATATTTTTGTACTTCAAATGCATTTTAGTAACGAACTTAGGGCATTGTTTTAGTAGTCTGAGAATGTTAAGAAAGTGATACTTTTGGTTGCGATGGATATTGTTTTAGTAGTCTGAGAATGTTAATAAAGTGATACTTTTGGTTGCGATGGATATTGTTTTAGTAGTCTGAGAATGTTAATAAAGTGATACTTTTGGTTGCGATGGATATTGTTTTAGTAGTCTGAGAATGTTAAGAAAGTGATACTTTTGGTTGCGATGGATATTGTTTTAGTATTCTGAGAATGTTAAGAAAGTGATACTTTTGGTTGCGATTATTATTCAAGGTGAAAGCTATGAGTCGACAGAAAGTCGTGCGATTACTGCTGGAATTGTTGGAGGTGTTTTGTTCTTCGTAGCAGCCATAGTTTTGTCAATATGTGCAGTAAAGATATGTAATAAAAGGAAACGGAGAAAAGCAGAAAAAGGTATGTGAAGCAGATACAGTTTTTTAAAGCTTTATTTAGACTTATTTTTAGTTAGTGTAATAACCCTTTTTTTATTTTCATCCAATTCTGTGGGCTATATTCCAGATCACATGACTGACTGAACTATGAACTCTCTAATTCAGTACAACGTTTGTGAATTAACTCGCTAATAAAATATTTTTTAACTTCACTGGTATAAATATAGTTACTTTTCGTTTATTTAATCCATAAGTGTATTGTGTTGGAGATTATTTATGCCTTGAACGCAATATTTATTTCTTATTCATTAATAATTAATTAACTTCATTAATGCACCTATTTTTGCAACTAATACATTCAGCGCCTGACTTGGGAACTTCAAGTTCTCATAGCGTGAAATGAAAACAATACATTAATTGTAATTCAACACATATGATCGAACTGTTATGTTCAACAGGTCTGTAAATAAGCCATTTTATGATTTATTAGCTACTATACCTTACCGAGTTCCAAGGTATATATATTGCTTAAGTAAAGTTCTTGCATGTTTTTTTAGCATACGTGATGGTGACATGCCCTCTTGCAGAAGCTAGGAATGGAGGACACTCGCATGGTGGTAGCCCGTCACCAATTAAAAGGTAAGTATCAATAAAGAAAAGTACCATAGAAAAAAAACAACAAGATGGACAATACGGTTTCATACTTTCGAAAATCTTTAAAAAAATCAAACTAACTGTGTTATATTGAAATAATTAAATTAATATTTTCATGCTAAAGAGAGAGAATATTTCGGCCTGTAATCATGTAAACTTTTATATACTGATTGTTTAATAAAGCTTTGATATTATGCTGTTCATCCTAAATATCGGTATCATTTTTATTGTGAAACTTCGTTTTCCTACGAATTAATTAATTAGATGTTAATTAGATGTTAATTCTCTTTTTTTCTTAACCATATGGAAAGTACTGAATGCCAACCCTTGGAGACAAGTAACCCTTGTAATTAAGTAAAGACAACAAACTGGTCTTCTTTCTTCTTCGCTTTCTTAAGACAGATAAATTTTGTATTTTGAAATAAGTATCCGACTTAATGTCCTTTCTCAATCTTTCACAAATTTACTTTAACAAGAAAATAAAACGCGTATTGAATCAACGACAACAAAGTATATTACATTCGTCAAATTAATTAGCGACCCAAAGAGAGAATCATATAATCGAATATGTTTTGAAATGTGAAGAGTCGCATCAAAACAAAATTAGCAATTACACTAAACTTGCTCATGTTTCCTGCATATTTTGATAATAAATTAATCTAAACTTTCTTTTTGATTAAGGAACATTCTGAAAATTTTATGCAAAGATTTATAAGGTTCTAAATGACATATATATCTCAAAGTGCTTGAAAACGAACTTGTCACAAATGCCATCAAGTGTTTTCAACTTTTAACTCAAGCATCTTTGAAAAATCCTCTAATGTCAAAAAGTCGTTAATATAATCTTTTGAAGACTCTTCTAACAACAGGGGAGTTCCCAAACAAATACTAATTGCTTAAATCTTTCAGAATGGATTTATATTTGCTGAAAGTTAAGTGTTACATATACTTCTCCCAAAACCTTCATTTTCAAAGTTTAGAAAAATGAAAATTGGTGTAAAAATTATAGAACACATTTTCATATATTTCCTTAGATCACATATAGAAGCATGTGATCCTAGTCATTAATACCCACCATCAACTCTTCAGCTATACTAGTCATGTAGAACCATGTGATCCTAGTCATTAACACCCACCATCAACTATTCAGCTATACTAGTCATATAGAACCATGTGATCATTTGTTTCATTATAATGCACCTACGATCCCGAAGTGCGGAGGACGATTTTGCGGCAAAAGGACGCGAATAATGGACCCTCGAGTCCATAGTCACGCTAACCACTAAGTCACGACCGGCTCAGTTGTTTAGACATTCCTAATTTTGTGCTAATAGACTAGAGGGATGGTAATTAGTCATTAACACCCACCATGAACTCTTCAGCTATACTAGTCATATGGAAGCATGTGATCATAGTCATTAACACCCACCATCAACTCTTCAGCTATACTAGTCATGTAGAACCATGTGATCCTAGTCATTAACACCCACCATCAACTCTTCAGCTATACTAGCATGTAGAACCATGTGATCCTAGTCATTAACACCCACCATCAACTCTTCAGCTATACTAGTCATATAGAAGCATGTGATCCTAGTCATTAACACCCACCATCAACTCTTCAGCTATACTAGTTCTTAAACATTTATGTTTACAGCATTTGATATTTCGTTTTAGGAAATCATTTTATATTCGTATCTGCAAGGGTTACTGCTTTTAATTTAAACATGGCCAACCTCTGATCAAAATATATAAAATGGCTTTGATGCTAATGCCTAGAAGTTGTACCTAATAATTTATTCATATTTTCAGAGAGCTTAAGTTCTAATATTATAGCCTTCTATTTTCATTGAAATCTTTTACATCTGATGTTTATATTTGTATCGGTAATGGCTATTTACTAAATCTTGTATTTTTCACTCTTCCCTTTGGCTGCCACAAAAGGAGGAAGAAAGGTGACTTTATTAATCATTTATTAATTATTAGTAATACATATTTTAATATAGCACATAAATAATTGCTCTAGCAATGAACCTATAATTCTTATAAAAATATTACAAAACAAAATGCTCAACTAAAGTAGAAAAAGTGTTGACTATTTCACATAAAGTGAATTTCACATTAAGCTGCAATTAAATATTCCTTGGAATGTTCCATGGAAACTTTTAAAGCTTAAAAATGTTTCTTATTTCATTTGGCTTAGGAATATTATATATCTTTTTTTATGAATAAAAAAGTGATTTTAAATGTATAGAAATAATAGTTTGTATATTTATATAAAATATGCAGCAGATGACGACAGAAATAAAATAGGTAGGTAATTATTAGATCATATGCTAAATACAATATATATAAATATAAAGTTCATGAATTTGGTTGACCAATAAGTGGCTTACACAAAGGAATAGTTTTATCAACACAAAAGTATCTAGTGTTATGCATCCTGTATAGGTTTTGCACTTAATATTCCAAATCATTTTATGATTGTAATTAGTGTGAACGTTAAGAAAAAACTCCAAGACAATAATTTATAAATATTTTTAGCAACAGCATAAATGTGCAGGACTAGTTAAAAAATCGAGCGTTACAAAAATTATTGACTTATTTATAAAGTTTGAGCACAAAATAACTCGATTTTGTATCGAGAACATTTCAATATAATCTTCAGAAGGAGGTGAAGAATCTTAGTGAAGTATATGTTTTATTCAATGGGTAGAACACAATTGCATATAGTGTTAATGACGCTAAATTTCGTAGTTCGAGCCCTATGGAGGGCACAGCATAGGTAACCCATTGTGCAGTTTTTCGCTTGAATGAAGCAAAACGAATCCTTGCATTTAAGAAAACCTTATTTATTCTAAGTTGAATTGAATACCATGTGACAATCCCAAGGGTTATGTTGACAGGTGTTGTTCCTTCCTGAGATCACCTGCTCATATTACTAGTAGTCTTCTGGTTATATACTGTCTTATTGATTCCACATATTTTGCTTTTCCTAGATACACCATTTGATTTCTAGCAGTCTCATTCATTCTGTATTTCGGAGACAAAATTCCACGGTTGTCTCTTTCATCTTAATAGTGAGAGCTTGTCATCTTTTCTTCTTAGATATACCCCAGGATGGTACATCTATCCAATAATCTCGATCCAATCGATCTAAATTTTTGCCGTACTGCCCTTGAGTCAGGTTGGTGACATTATATATTTGTAGTTTGTGGCTTTTATCAATCCAGAGAAGAGTCTGCTTTATGGTTACCAGCTACTTACTAGAACTGCTTGTTGGAATTTTGAATGCCTCATCAGCTTTATACAAAATGTTGTTGCTCCATGCGAGGATGAATACACAGCTACCTAGGAGACATATGTGGACATGATGACAGGTGACCGCCCACCACGGTCTTTAAGTAGGTGCTAACCGGCGTTTTCTGCTTCACTCTCTTCCCAATCTTTAAATATACTGTCACAAATCCCTGTAGCTCTAGTATTTTTTATTCCACATCTGAGATCTGGTGATTGCAAATGTCTAAAAATGAATGTTTCCCGAGGCACTTGTTAGACAATACTCTGCTCTGATTGTTTAGTGTATGTGGGGTTGTTATGGAGCCAAATGTTCCAATTTAAAATGGCATAACTTTGCTTGCAAACGTTTTGATGTTCTACGATGCTTTTGAGGTGGAAAAGAGTTTTGGTTAGTGGAACTGAAGTTCATCTCCTGACATGCCTTAAACAGTTGTTTGGCATGTTTTAGTCTTTCCTAGCTATGTAACACTCATACGAGTCATCTGTAGTGCATAATCCACATTGGTGTGAATAATACTTTAGTAGAGCACAAGCAGCTGCATTCTTCAGTTCTGTTTGGTGTTTAAGTTTGAGTGCTTTGATGTTTTTGGTAGCTTTGATTATGATGGTGTTAATGTGACTGGTGATGTCAAGTTGTCTGTCAAAAGCTACTTCTACATATGTCTGTATTTCTTTCAGAGAAATTAAATGTTTGTAAAGGATGGTGATGGTTTATCAATACCAGTATATATGTTGTTGAGTGCGAAGGACATGGCTTTCGATTGGCAGTTTCGAATATAATTACTGTACCATTTCACCATTTTTTGCTCTGCTAAGGGATGGTTACATCTTACTTTCCATATTCAAAAGTTAACAGATGGCAAGTTGTCGGGCTATGAAGGAGGGATATATATATATATACATAACGTACACATTGAAGAAGACTGGCAAAGTGTAAATCCTTGATGTAGACCAATATTATGTTGATTCAGTATGATTACCAGCTTATAGGCTTCATGACGCATCTTTTGATAGTTGGTGTAGTTCTGATACATCTTACAAATGTTATACTGATGCCTATTTTGAGCATTTGGTCAGCAGAATGGACAGCTGGAGTATATTGAAGGCATCTTCTAGATTTAAAACTACTGCCAAGATATTTTGACCAGCTTCAAAGCCTTAATATTCATCAGTTGCAACTTCACATTATAGATCAAGGTTTCTCTACCACTATGATAACTTAATGATGATACTCGTAATGGTCCAATATGATACAAGCCTTCTAGCTACACCATTCTCTGGGATTTTGCCAATTATGTTTTCTAAAATGTTGATTTGATGGTCTTTAAGATGAGAGTGATACATCGTGGTTTAGTTAAGTATTTGTTAAAGGCATATTTCAGTTAAAAATACTAATTTGCCAAGCTGTGTTGATACTCTAACACTAATTTGAACAAATTGTCTTCCGTAAGCTTTTTAAATGTGGTAATGTCTCCACCATGCTGACCTGGAGTTCCTTCTTTCGATGCATTTATAGCTCTATTTGTGGCTCAGATGGGGATTTTGTAGCTTGGGCCTTTCCTGCATGTTACCACCATCATTTTGGTTAAATATATGCACATTAACACCATCATAATAGTAATGACTAACATCAACATTTCCTTAGTTTCTGTGTCAGTTATAAGCTTGCGGAAGTGGAAGAATAAGGTGCTTGTGATATTAGCTCGGGAAGTGGAGGCAAGGATTGGATGAAAAATATATTGTAAGAGTCACAACACTTAGGATTTTTTAGGTGTTTTGTCCATCCTTTTACAAATCTATATTACCACTGGTGTCGGAACTCATTATTAGCGAGGGGTTGGCTTCAAACAACATAAGAAATATGGGGAGAAGGAATTGTAAAATGTCATAAGGCATAAACTACAGAGAAGCTAAGAAGAAGTTTGGGATTCCTAGAGAAGTAATCCAAAACACACGAAGATGTCGAAAGCCAATTTTCAATGAGAATGTAGAGAAACAGCTTGTAAAAAGTCAAATTACCTGTAGTAACTGAAGTTGTGTATTTAGGTACACTTGATCTCAGAATGGTTGCCAGGTAACATTTATAACAGGTATAAAATCTTGCATAATAAAAATAATTTTCATGGTTAGATGTTTTGTTTGTTTGCTTATTATTAACCAAAAAACTATACAATGAGCTATCTGTGCGGTAGTGAAACCCCATTTTTAGAGTTATAAGTCCTCAGACACACCGGTGAGACACATTAGCTGATTTAAATATTATTATTTATTATTTAAGTATTCACTGGAAAATTGCACATTTAGAGCAGCGATTCTCAAACTAGGAGCCCGACCAAAAATGAAATTGCAAGGCTATTGTATGGAGGCTCCAGATATCATAAACAAATATTGCCATAGCGGATATTTCTGAGTATGTACAGTAATTTGCCATCATTCTGTGGCCTGAAATATTTGAAAAGGGTATTCAGAAAACTAAACGTTTGAGAAGTTCCAAATTTTAGAGCCAACATGGTTTAAACCATTGACTTTGCTAACTGAAAATCATAGTTTTAATTATATGGTTATTTTTATTAATTCTTACATTGATGTCTCTAGTTTGATTATCATCATAATTTTACAAATTGTAAAAATAGTAATTATATTCCTATGTACTCCTGATGGGTTTTAATTTTTTTTCAGCAATGGATCATCATCCTTCAGACCAAAAAGCAGAATATCAGATTTAATGAGTAAAGTTATATGTTGTATGTCTACCAGTAAAGCCTATTTTTTTAACTAAGTCCCAACTCCAACCTGGTTAGGTCACGTTACTCAGAGAGTAACTCTCAATAATGGTCAAAGACAGTGGACCGTGTTCTTCAAGGCTGCTGGATTTCCAAGACAGTTGGAACTTAAATAATCTTGGCCTCTGATCTGAGTTAACTGGACAACTGGAGCGAGGAGAAGGTCCCATGTGATGCTCAACTCCTCTCTACATCAAGATCACAAGCCAGTCTCTGAATTGATGCTAACAGTTGAAATAGTATTCACTATTATCTTACGTTCGAGTGTCTTGTGTTGGTTACGAAGGTTTTATTTCCCTGTTCCTAAGCTTCCTTCAGTCTCGCCAGTCAGCCTACTCCTAGTGTATATTCCCTCTTTAATTATCCTTTCATGGAACAATTTCTCGTTACTATACTCAATGAGATCCCATTATTTTGGCCTCTACAAAATCAACTTGTGAAGGTCAATCAAACAATTAAAAAAAAACATAACAACTCAAGACAAAATACCACCATTTTATTCATAATGCAGTGCCACAAACAGAAAAGCAACTGACATGGCACTTCCGTGAAAGATAAACTTTAGTATGGTACTTGGATAAGTGGATGTCATGCTTTCATAATTGGTCCCTGACTGTTCATCTTTCCATCCAAGACCCATCTACTGTTCCTTAACATAGACTATATTGGTAAGTGGAAGTTCTCTGTACTTAAGTAGATGTTAAAATGAGGTCATCTGGATAGTCAGTGTTTTCAGACCTACCTCTTCCCGTACAATATATGAATAAAAGTAAAGCTCACAGTAGGTTAATAGCTGCCATTAGTTCCCCTAAATTTAAGAGAAGAGCTAAAATAAATTGAACAACATCCAAACCTAGAAGAAGAAGACATTCAGCCAAGTTCAAATATTATTCTAAATAATTCTGATGATCTGGTTACACTTACAGCATATACATATACACCAGAGACACGCCTCTAGGGTTATTAAGCATCTGCACAGTGAAATATTACAATGAGAAGAATTCTTCAACGTTGGCGCTTCCGAGTTTTAAATTAAGAATTTGGAATAAACTGCTCAGTTCTCGCCAACCTCACTGTCAGGAGAGAAAGATACACGGTCATCTTCACTTTCTTCCAGATTCGAATGAATAGGTTTCATTGAAGCATTCTCGAGATATATTGCTCACTCATTTTCTAAAAGAAAAAGTTATAATTATCGATCGTAGACTTCCTCAGCCTCGGATGAATATCACAAGTGGAAATTCAGAGCGGAGCGGTTAAGCTTCATTTGTCTCTTTCATTCTCATGAAGATAGTCTACCAGGAGAAGTTGAGATAGTAAAAGCATCAACGGTTATGCTAGCAGGAACGTTTCAGCAGTATAGTCCTCAACCCAACCTTGTACAGTTCTGGGATACTACAAATACATCAAGATAAACCCGTAATATCAATGATCTACGTAATATTAAAATTTCTAAGCTTCTTTATATATCAATAGGCAAGAATTATGAGTTTGACAAAGTTTTGTCACTTGGGTCAGGGGTCCTAAGTCGAATTAAAACCTTTCGTGAACCCAGTCGTACACATATATTCCATCAATGCGTGAAAACTTGGAACATGGGCTTAATAATAATGAAATATATCTCAAATCATATCTTACTTATTGTGACAAAGAAACGCATTTTTCTACTTTGAAGAAAGAAGCCCTGTGGTTTCAGCGAAGAAATGAATATGAATGACTAATGTCTGACAATCTAGAAAGTGTATACCAATATATTTAAAACATATAAATACAACTTATAAGTTATTCATTTGTGGATGAATCAAACCATCCAATATTTTTAATTCAGAAACACTGGTTATATTTGATAGCCCTAATTATTTGGCTAAAATTATAATACATTTAACTAGACACGACATGTTTGTGGTTAAAAAAAAACAGAACATTGACTCATTACTGACAAGAAAATATAAAGTTTTCCAAAATGAAAAATAAGATAAGAAATAACGCATTGGATTTTCTTATAACAGCATTAATGACTGTTGTGTCGTTTTTATTTTTTTTGTAGCAACATCAGTTTTTCTAGTTGTAGCTCATTTTTGTTTGGATGATGTGAATGTTTTACATTCCAGGTAGATAATTATTTCTTCGTCTTGCCATCCTGCCATCTTGCCATCTCTACTGGCGTGTAATGTACTTAAGTGATATGATATATATCGTTATTTGTACCGATAATGTAATGTGAAATAGCATTAACTTAATTTTTCATTTTTTTTATTCCAAGTAGCTTCAACCGGACACAATACATGTTATTTTAAGTTAAAAAGTCTAGTCCTGTGTCTAAACATTATACACAAAGTAATTCTATTCACTCTCAATGCTTCTAAACGATTAGCTTCATTTTTTCCTCTTAAAATCGTCACTTAGATTCTAAAATGTCCAACAGCGGTAGAGATTCATAAATAACCTAAGATGAAATACAATCCAAATCATTTATTGAAGATGTTATATTAAAAGAACAGAGCAGAATCTTACTAGTGAAACCACAAATGATTATTGAAATACATCTTTTGGGCATAACAACAGTATAAAGTGTACATTATGGTATGAGTGAAGTATCTGAAGTATTCACAGATTTTCGTGTGTTTTCGTGTACGAATGAAGTATTTGAAGTATTCACAGATTTTCGTGTACGAGTGAAGTATCTGAAGTATTCACAGATTTTCGTGTGTTTTCGTGTACGAGTGAAGTATCTGAAGTATTCACAGATTTTCGTGTGTTTTCGTGTACGAGTGAAATATCTGAAGTATTCACAGATTTTCGTGTGTTTTCGTGTACGAGTGAAATATCTGATGTATTCACAGATTTTCGTGTGTTTTCGTGTACGAGTGAAGTATTTGAAGTATTCACAGATTTTCGTGTGTTTTCGTGTACGAGTGAAGTATCTGAAGTATTCACAGATTTTCGTGTGTTTTCGTGTACGAGTGAAATGTCTGAAGTATTTACAGATTTTCGTGTGTTTTCGTGTACGAGTGAAGTATCTGAAGTATTCACAGATTTTCGTGTGTTTTCGTGTACGAGTGAAGTATCTGAAGTATTCACAGATTTTCGTGTGTTAGTGAAAACTGAAGAAATGGAAATCAGTGAACAACTAAAAATAACACAAAATTGGCAAATTTTGATACTTTTTTTATTACTTTTACTATAAATTAACTTGATATTGTATTTTAGAAAACGAGTGTTTGTTCGAGATATGGCATTTTTATATGAAGGATTTTATACTTTTCCAATCACTCAAAGGTAAGACATTCTCTGAAACTTTTAATTGAATGTGCGGATGAAATCCAAGTGAAAAATTATCTTTCAGCAATATTTTTCGTCAAATGCTATATTTATAGTATACCTAATTCATTAATATTTATATCTTGATGAATAACCAGGAATTCAGATTTCAATGTTTGATATGGTAGTATTTTTGCCATATGCGTCTCATCGAATAAAAAACGTACCTTTGAAAACCAAACAAGCATGTTTTGCTTTATTTTATTATTACAGAAACTTATAACAGATGTATTAAAATGATTTTCGAAATAATTATATTATTTGATCGAAATTACTGTTTGTGCAAATTTCCGTAAACCATTGGATTCTCTTACTCTCAAGTGCAAACTCTACGTACATACGATTAAAGATAGTTCTAAAAACACCATCTATAGGAAAGAATAATAAGTAAATTCCATAAATAAACACATTTTATTTTACACAAATCAGTGAAATTCACTGACTTTGAATGTCTCTTATAAACTAAACCTGATAACAGGAAGTTATCTATTGTTGCCATAGAATTATTATATTTGTTTCAACCTAGACTCGGTCCAATGCCACGTCGTTTTTTTATGGTTGTTAGTTTAATAGCAAAAATAAAATACTCTTCAGAAATTAAAAATCTGTGACATTTAAGTTTATTAGCCATTTTCTTAAAACCACACATAAATGCAATTTTCTAGTAAGTTTCTTTGTTTAAGAGCAGAGCTACATTGGACTATCTGGTTTGTCCACCATGGAGGATCAAACCCCGGATTTTAGTGTTGTAAGTCCGTAGACTCACTGCTGTCCCACCGAAAGACTTTCTAGTAAACACAAGTTCTCTGTGGTCCCTTTAATTTAAAATGGCTTCAAATAACATTAGAAATTTCAGGACGATTACTTGAGAAAAGCATATTTTGTTCAGACTTTTAAGAATAATAAATATAAATTAACTATTTTCCGATGTGCGTACTTGACTATAGATTTTGAAAAAAGTTAAATTAAGTGAAATTGTATAGTTTTTAATCTTAGACGTTTCACAAGTTATAATATTTAGGCTAAAGTTTTTCGGACGAAGAATATGTGAAGAAGGTTAATACGTCAAGAGTGAATTACACCAGAGTGAATTACACCAGTGTAAATCCACCTAAGATACGTAATATTAATAAATGTCAACCTTTTTCCGTCTCTCTGGGTTTGTAATGGAAGATAGATAAAATTATTTTCATACTCGAATCTATCGTCTTAGTAATTTTCATAGAATACGTATGATATTCAAGCTGTGCGTTGATAATACTCTGACGGTATAATAATAATTATATTGGTGATGCAAGGAGGTTTGCTCTGACGGTATAATAATAATTATATTGGTGATGCAAGGAGGTTTGCTCTGACGGTATAATAATAATTATATTGGTGATGCAAGGAGGTTTGCTCTAACGGTATAATAATAATTATATTGCTGATGCAAGGAGGTTTGCTCTGACGGTATAATGATAATTATATTGCTGATGCAAGAAGGTTTGCTCTGACGGTATAATGATAATTATATTGCTGATGCAAGGAGGTTTGAGAACAGACGGAGAAACAGACTAATGGTCTGATTTAAAAAACAAAAATCTATTTTTTCCATTTTTTGTATCACGTATTGTTATGTTGAGCTTGGAAAAAACTTCTTTAAAATCTTTGAGTAAATACACCTTATGCAATTAATTTTCACACTTTGCGCTTCATCGTATATAATTTTCTTGGTTACACTTCCTTTGAGCAGTTTGCTATATTTATATTAAAGATCATATCACGCAACGTGTTCTTTGTTATTCACACACACACACACACATATATATATATATATATATATATAC